GAAATTGAGAACATCAAACCCTGTTTTTAAAAAAATTATATTTGTAAAAGGCAAATGAATTTGGTTTTCATTTCACAAAAATTTCAAATTGGGGTTATAAAAACCCCCCCGGATGGTCTAAAATTTGGAACCCCCTTTGTTGCGGTTTGTTTGGTATTAATATTATTATTTGGATAATGAATGAGGTTGGGGGCCTTGAAAAGGCTGCCACTGCCAAATAACAGTGAAGGGAGGAGCCGTCCCGCTATATAAACCCTCCTCTGTTTCGTCTCCTAATTCACACCCACCCACACCCACCTGCATGCGTTCTTATTCCTTCTGTTTGAATCCATCAGAAGAAGAAATGGTAAAAAAGATAGTAATTAGAGAGTTCGATGCGAGTAAGGATTGTGTGGGAGTGGAAGATGTGGAGAGAAGGTGCGAAGTCGGGCCAAGCGGCAAACTATGTCTTTTCACTGATCTCTTGGGTGACCCAATTTGCAGGGTCCGCAACTCCCCTGCTTTCCTCATGCTGGTATTTTTCTCTTCTTTCAATTTCCCCCCCTTTCTCTCTCTTATAACAAACAAACTTCAATTAATGCAATCATCATTATGGCCGTTCCAACAGGTGGCAGCCACGGCCGACCACGACGACATACTTGGAATGATTAGAGGCTGCATCAAAACCGTTACATGTGGCAAAAAACTCTCCCGCACTCCCAAAGCCGTCCCTGCCGATCACCCTACAAAATACGTCCCTGTTTACACTAAACTCGCCTACATCTTAGGCCTCCGCGTCTCTCCCGCTCACCGGTACGTGGTGGTGGTGGTGGTGGTGTGTGTGTGTGTGTGTGTGTGTGTGTGTATATATATATGTGTATATATAGATTGATGTATTGATAACGGATTGCGGTTTTTCAGGAGAATGGGAATTGGGTTGAAACTGGTGAAGAAAATGGAGGAGTGGTTCAGAGAGAATGGTGCGGAGTATTCGTACATAGCAACGGAAAAAGACAACGTGGCGTCAGTTAATCTGTTCACCGAAAAATGCGGCTACTCCAAGTTCCGTACACCGGCCATCCTTGTCAATCCCGTTTTCGCCCACCCACTCCCCTTGTCCCAACGCGTCACCATCCTCCCACTTTCACGTTCAGACGCTGAGATTCTCTATCGCTCCCGTTTCTCCACCACTGAGTTTTTTCCTCGCGACATTGACTCTATTCTCAACAACCACCTCACTCTCGGTACCTTCCTTGCTATCCCACGTGGCGTTTATACCCACGACACGTGGCCCGGCTCGGACCGGTTTTTACTTAATCCACCCCACTCCTGGGCGGTTCTTAGCGTCTGGAATTGCAATGACGTGTTCAGGCTACAAGTACGTGGAGTGTCGCTGGTGAAGCGGACTCTTGCGAGGACGACACGCGTGTTGGACAGGGCGTTTCCTTGGTTAAGACTGCCGTCGGTGCCGGAGCTGTTTAAGCCGTTTGGGCTCCACTTTCTGTACGGACTGGGCGGAGAAGGGCCCGAGGCTGGGAGGATGGTGAAGACGCTTTGTGGGTACGCTCATAACCTGGCGAAGGAGAAAGGGTGTGGGGTTGTGGCTACGGAGGTGTCAGCTAGAGAGCGTGTCAGAGCCGCGATTCCGCACTGGAAAATGCTGTCGTGCGAGGAGGATCTTTGGTGCATCAGACGCCTAACGGAGGATTTCAGCGACGGCTCTGTGGGTGATTGGACCAAATCACCACCTGGGTTGTCCATTTTCGTCGACCCCAGAGAGTTCTAGAAGGATTAGAAGGAGGAGATTGGGAAAGTGAAAGGAAAGGAAAGGAAAAAGATCATAGAAATGGGTTTTTATCGTAAAAGAGAATATATCCCTAACCTTTATATATATATATATATATTTTTTTTTGTTTGACTTTGTTTTTGCTGTCTATCTCCCTTGAAATTTCAAATTTTGTTGTAAATGAAGGCCACTTTTATGACCCATTTCCTTTTGAAGTTGATACCAAATGCATAGCCAGCAATAGCCCGATAGAGCGCAACCTTGAGCTTGATGTGGGCCCTCTCTCTCATTGATTAATTAAAAGTAGAATTATGTCGAGGAAAGCATGAAAATGGATATGATTCATAAAGTAAGATTTGGTTAAGATAACAAAATTGATGGATATTGGGAGTAAAGGGCGCAGGCGCAGACACAGGCACAGGCACAGCCACAACCCACACCCACCTTTTCTCCCAACGCCACTATATGCTTGAAAATGATATTTGGATAAGGTTTTTATATCCCACCCCTCAATCCATTTCCCCATTTTTTTTCATATAATTATTAATACATCAAATATCAAAACCCAACACTCCACGTTTCAACAAAAGAAAACATAAACATAAACATAAAGTAGGAAAATGTAGTGTTCTATAATATTAATTTGACTTGACTTAACATTAATATTGTAGTTTTACTCAAATTCAAACTTGGTTGCCAAATATAAGATATGATATAACTACGTCTTTTGGATCTCCCTCCCGAAACTCTCCCAAAAATTCTTCCGAAAAAATTTATTAAATTTTTACGCTACAAGTATTTCATACGCATGCATTATAAAATAAAATATGATGCCCAAAAATCTTAACAATAACTGGTAAATGTAGAGAATATATTAATGATAAACAGTATAACGACAAAGTCAATTCAATGAGTATATAATGTCTTAATCCGTTCAACCAGTAATAAAATATGCAACCCAATTTTTATATATATAAAATTAATTTATGACATGCGTTAATAAAGCAAAAAGGCTTGATTATTTATTTGCAAATTGCAATTAACTATTTAATGAAATACAGACATTAAGTTGGTGATTGATGATTAAAGTATAAGCAAGTTGATTCGGTTTGTTGTGCGTTTGAAGAACCCGGGGCCTTTGATGTTGCTGAGCTGCGACCCTTTCCGGGTTGCTTTGAGCATAAAGCCTCATGACTTTACTTGAAAATCCATGATCAATTTCTTAATTAGCGAACTTGAGACTCCTCTTCCAACCATCTGAGAATGAACTAAAAACTATCTGAGAATGTTTTAAGAACAAGAGGTTGGTCCTCAATGTCTATGTTCTTAACTGGGCTAACAATGTTGGGCCTCCAACCGTCAAAAACTGGGCTAACAATCACAAACGGTTACATTAAGCATGAAAGAATCTGAAGCTTTGAAATTAGTATAAAGTTTTTATATTCATGTCACGGTCCATCTATGATCTAAACTATTCTTTTTTGATTTTTTAAATTTATTTTTATGTTCAACGATTTAATAAAATATTTATTTATAACTGTGAAGTTGTCATTTGTGAATAAAATAAAGGCGCACGTTCTTCCATAAGCTCTTCAATCAGTTCATATTACAAATTCAATTTCAATTTTGATGAGCCTACTAACATCCCACGTGGCTTCGGAGGAGATTGCACAAAATTACCAAATCCATTTTTTGTTATTTTCTATAATTAATAACCCACAAAAAGAAAAATTCAAACGTGCATTATTTTAATTATGTACATGTTTTTTTTTTTTTTAATGAATTGTGTATAATTATTGTTTTACCATGAGTTCATACATCAATCATTATTACAGTTATATCTTATTTAATATGTATTTTCAAATTTGAAATTTGTAAATTCAAAATAGTTACTTTTTTAATTTTATATCTAATTAATTATTAATATATTTAAAAGTTTTAAAAAATTGACGCTCAATTACATTTTTATTGGAATTTAACTTCTGTTTTTGGCAAATTCAAAACTTTAAAAAATGAATTAAAATTTAAATTAAATTAATAAAATATTAAGTAATTACAAATTTTAATTTTTTGTAAATTCGAGATTATTTAGGAAAAATAGACCTAATAAGAATGAAAAGGTTTTTTTAATCTGACTTTTGCAGTTCTGATTTCTGAATCATCGCGAAGAGGAGACGAAGAGAAACCGCAGTTATTCGCCATGATAGCTTTAAACTTCATCTTCTTTCTCAGTCTGCAATTGTTTCTTCTTTTCATTGATCCTCGCGTCAATGGCGATAGTCGAAGAAGAAGTCTGCACCAGCCATTGGATCCCGCAACATTCGTGTCACCGCCGCCACCGGGGGGGTCTGCAAATTCCGACCAGCCTACGCCTGCTCCTTCGAATGTCTCTATGCCTAATCTACCGTCATCTGCTCAACAGTCTTTTAAACCAATCAAAACTATGGGCATTGTATGCTCCGTTGCGATTGTGACTCTGGGAATGCTCTCGGCGCTTGCCTTCTTTCTGTATCGGCAGCGGATTAAGTACCGGTGCAAGTCTCGGATGCTCGTCGACAAGGAACGTTGCTTGAGTTTTCGGGCCGATTCTGGGATTCCACAATCGAGTTTCTTGAATTTCGGAACCATGGAACAGAGGTCGTGCTCGAGCGTCGAGCCGAAGGGTGTAAATGGTCTAGATGAATCTCCGGCGCAGCGCAGGGTAGATTCTGTGAAGAAATGGGATTCTCGTCTTCTTAGCCCTGAGTTGCATCCACTGCCTCCTCTCCCCCACCAGCAGATCGGAAACCCATCATTTGAGACGACATTGTCCGACGACGATAGCCGAGAAACAGTGTTTCACACGCCGGAGTGGACGGCGGCAGTTTCCTACGGCGGAGGCATTTTTCCTAGAAGCAAAAAGGAAACTCGCTACGGCTCGCCCATTGTTCACGCCCAAGGAACTTCTCCACTACCTTATTTACAGGAATCGTTGATAAAACAGGACTACCGACGGCCGGCGGCGTCGCCGCCACCTCCACCTCCACCTCCACCTCCACCTCCACCTCCTCCAACGACACAATAATGATCTCCTCGAGATCCAAAAAAATTTCTACCTCCCAAGAGATCCAAGTTGGACATTGTTTAAGAAAACCGAGGTTGTCTGTTTCATTGTTATTTTAGTTGGAAGAAGAGTTCACTTTGCTTAGTCATTTAATTCTTCAACTTTTTGAGGCAAACAGATGATACCAAGATATGTACCAAGTAAATTTTGATCTCATTTCTTGATCTGTGATGTACAAGGAATACAATTGGGCAGTCAAAAGAAGAAGAAAAATTTACAGAATGAATGAATTTGGTTATTCAAGAAGAATACAGGGTTTTTGCCCCCTCATATAGATATGGTTTCTGTCGTAAAAAAAAATGGTGTTCTTGCTACTCCCTTCGTCCTCAGAATCTTCTTTACTAACAATCTCCATTTCATTTCATTTTTCCTGCCCAGTTTTCTAATCCTGTCCTTGAAATTCCTGAAATCACGGGACATTCTCATTGGTTGAATTCAACACTTCTTTTACAAAGATTAACAGCTAAAAGTCAAGGAAGACGGAAAAAGAGGAGACAGATTTGGATAAAAATTACCTGCACAAAGGGACTCTACAGAGACTAGAATCTGCACAAAGATGAGAGTGCAACTCCAAGAGTTGCCACATTCTCTTGCATTGGGTACAACCACCAGGGGCTCTTAGTTTGCAGCCTGCAAAGTGGCGGATAAGCAACTCCAGCCCCTTGCAGGCTGCGTATTTACATGGCGGCTGGTTCACCTTGAAGTCTTTGTCGTGTGGGCCAATTGTGCGACAACCATCTCTACATATATGAACAAGAGCCTCCATTGCCTCAAATAGCTCCAAATAGATCTGCCTTTCATTCTTTTTCTTCTCTCTTTTCTTTTGCTTCTGAAAGTAAAATTTGAATGATTGGTTTAGAGAAAGAGCTCTTTTAGTAGTTAGACATGGTTTCTAATATCAAGAGAGACAGAGGTGTGGAATTACATTGTCTTCCTCAATTAAAGATTCAAGAAGTTCCTTTTCAAGAACAGGGTGGCTTTGCCGCATTGATTGCCAAGCTTCGGTGGCAGAAACGGTTTTGAAGTTCTTTAGGATCATACGGTGGCAAAGTAGGCTGAGATGGGGAGCATCACTCAGTAATGCAAGTTGGAAAACATCTACAACATTTTCAAGTGTTAACAAACCACGACCCAGTTGCCTCTCACACTCTCTCTTCAGCTGGGGAACTACATATACATGTGACAGCACCAGCAGAGGCATTACAAATTCCTCCATATCTTCCTTCTCGTATCTGAAATCAAATGTGCCAATAAATCAGAAAACACAACCAAATCAACATTCCCTCAGACTTTTTTGATCTACATTAACGATCAAATCATGAAACAGTACAAGAAAAGCATTACCTGCATGAGTAAAGATATCTAACAAATGCTTTAACGCAATCAGGTGGAACTCCATGGATTGAGATCGACAGCTTCCTACCAGACGTTTTTGATTGCTTTAACATGCCTTTCATCACAGGAGAAGCCATGCCCTGCAGGAAAATTACAGAAGAGAACCGAATCACTTGTTGAACTAGGATAGTATGGCAATGACCTTCATGCTTTTCAGTCAGCAGATTCAAAATTTCCAAACATTTCATCTTAATATAAATGGATACCATGTTTAACCTAGCACATCTCTAAAAATAAAAATGGCAGGTCACTTCTTGTAGGTTATGAAATGGTGGGATTAAAACAACTTACGAGGACATAGGCATGTGCATATACAATGCCACCATGATCTGTATGGATAGTAACATCTGCTCCATAGGCTTCGTCAAAGAGGCTGTCCCAGCGGTCTCGTAGTGCAGTGGAAACGCAGCTGTATCCCCTTTGCAAGGATTCACTTGAAACCAAGCCCTTCTGCAGATGACTACTGATTGCAGATTTAGGCAATGGAGGTGGCATTGGGATGGTGTTTGCCTTGGCTGAGATTAAATCATTGCAAATATTTTTTGTATTCTCCATTAATTTACTTTAAAAAACCCTAAACCTGTGAATTTGGAAAGTTAAAGAGAATATAATAAATGCATTTTCTAATATCGGTAAATGGATATCAATTAAATATTGCACAGTTCAGGATGATGAGAGTTCTTACCCGTTAAGTAATCTAGCAAGACAGACACTGAAATAACGCACTTGGATATCTGAATTTCAACAAATTAATCAAACAGTCACGGTTTTGACAAGATAATAGAACAGACACTGAAATAACGCACTTGGATATCTGAATTTCAACAAATTAATCGAACAGTCACGGTTTTGACAAGATAATAGAACAGACACTGAAATAACGCACTTGGATATCTGAATTTCAACAAATTAATCAAACAGTCACGGTTTTGACAAGATAATAGATTATCTCCCGGTTCTTTCAATCTGATCTTCTCAACGATGAATATACATTTCAGAAAATTGATGGCAGCTCAAAACAATTAAAAACATGAAGAAGGACAAAAAAAAAGAAAAAGAAAAGGTGTGCCCGATCCGATTCCGGAAAGCGAAAAGCGATTTCGCTACCGGGATTTGGTTAATCTAAACTGGAATGACAACGAAATCGAAGCTTAAGTGTGTGTGTGTGTAACATTCATATTCAGGACGATCGAAGCAAGGGGGAAATACAAAAATCAAGCATCCGTACGGAAAATGAACAACCCTATATCAATCTTTCTCCTCTTCAGACAATCCAATAAATCGAAAACAGAAACGTAAAACAGTTTCACCTACAAACCGCGATTAATGAAGAAAAGCAGAGAGATTACTGACCTTGCGAAATAGCGCCCCTGTATACGCTTGCAGAAACCAACCAAAAAATGGCGTCCGCCGGTAACCGTCTTCTAAAAACTCCACAACGTTGCGATAGAAAGAGAGAGAGAGAGAGAGGTGATATGAGAGAGATAATCAGGTTTAAATGTGAATCTGAAAATGTTGGACGCGGTTGCCAGAGAATAGGAATTTACTTAAAATTAGAAAGGCATCGAAGATGATTCGTCTGTTAATACGTGGACACTCTGGCATGACAATGATATGGATCTTACGTGGAAGTATGCGTGTTTCCGCTTACCTCTGACAAAGTTCCACGTAGGATTGGAAATTTTCCCCTACCCACGAACGTACTTAGGTCCTACCACTTTTACAAATAATTCAATGGTCATTATAATTTCCCGCTGCTTATTTCTAACGCCACGATGGTTTTTTTGTGTCAATAAATGTATTTCTTAATTTGACCGTTGACTTTTGTCATGTCCGTTCCATGAACCTTCGCATTTTCAACTTCCGGTAACTTTGAGAGAGAGTAAAAAAGTTTAAAAAAAAAAAATTATCATCCCCATTTCTCGAGGTTAAAAATTTGATGGTAAAGTTGACTCATGATTAGTTTTCGATTAACGTAGTTGAGTAAACAACGAGGGAGAATATTAGGACTCTCCACAAATTGTATGATATTATCCCATTTTGAGCATCAATACTCATGGCTTTACTTTTGGTTCGTCTAAAATGTTTGATACCAACAGAGATAGTATTCTTTACTTGTAAATCCATGTTGTCGATGCGGTAATCATTTTGTAACGACCCAGATTCACCGTTAGCCGATATTGTCCTCCCTTGGGCTTCCCCTCAAGGCTTTAAAACCCATAACGCGTCTACTAGGGAAGGTTTCCACACACCCCTTATAAATGGTGATTTATTCTCCTCCCCAACCAATGTGGGACATCACAATCCACCCCCCTTCGGGGCCCAGCATCCTTACTGGCACACTGCCTCATGTCTCCCCCCCCCCTTTCGGGGAACAGCGAGAAGACTGGCACGTTGTCCGGTGTCTAGCTTTGATACCATTTGTAACGACCCAGATGATACCATTTGTAACGACCCAGATCCACCGCTAGCAGATATTGTCCTCTTTGGACTTTCCCTTTCGAGCTTCCCCTCAAGACTTTAAAACGCGTCTACTAGGAGAAGGTTTTCACACCCTTATAAATGGTGGTTTGTTCTTCTCCCCAACCAACCTAGGACATCACACCTTCAAACTAACCTGGGACATCACACATTCAAACTATCACGACTATAGCATAGCTAAAGTGGGCTATTAGAAGGCTAGTGATATGGGCTATTGAGAAATTTGGGCCCAAATTGTTAGAATCAAAAGGCCCAATGGATGCGCTAACCTTTTTGTGGATTCTCTCCCTCTCTATTAGATTTTGAACTTTTGGGAAAGGTAATACATCGAATCTCGAATATGATTTGAGTGCCCCTTTCTTTTTGAGGACTATTCAAGAAATTTTTGATAAAGATGAAACTTTAGGGTTACAAATGTGGTGTAATTTGGGAGGAAAAAAAAAAAAAAACCCTAAAGTTTAATTGCATTTATGTGACAAAATCTGGGTATTAAAAATCAGAAAACCCTTGGAAATAATTTGTAATATTTTGTTAATATTTATGATTGAAATATAAAAGAAAAGGAAACAAAAAATAATTGGCTTGCTCTTGAAGCTATAACCCACATGGCCACATCAAGCTCTCGTTGTATAATGGGTCTCCACGGCAGCAACACAACGCTAACCCCACAAACAACATGGCTTTTTTAAAACCCTTTTAATTCAACACAAAAATTGAATCACTATCATTCACACATTAACTTCACTAATGTGTAGCATTACTAAATTTCCCCAAACTTCTAAACCAAACCAAACCCATAAACAACACACCCGGATCTTTCGCTAGCTATCGGAAACAGACCCACCAAACGTATCCTAACTCAAATTTACGAGCTAAGAAAGCCTTCTCTACCTTCAGTAATAATTCATTATAAACGTACTTTAATATAAATATAAAAATACACGTATACGAGTTTCAACCCATTTTCTTTATGGGTTGAGAGATTTTCCAGCCATAATAATTGTTCTCTCAATATGCACCTATATGCCTCCTCAACATTAATGACACTACCAGAGTACATTTTATAGTTTAATAATTCATAGGTCCATAATCAAGTCTATTGTTGACCGAAATTATAATTTTTTTTTCTAATTTTTAAAATTTTAATATATAGTCAGTTATTTACGAAAGATTTTTCAAATTTAAATGAAAATTAGACCACATCTATTTAAACATAATTACTCTCACCTACCTACCTTGATGAGCTAACAAATTTGTGTAATTAAAAGAAACAATAATAAAATGTAATTAAATACATAAGATTCTCTTCGTTTGACTTTATGAATCAAATTAAAGATATACGGCCCATGTCTATTATTGATTCTTACATACAAATACTCATGGAAGTTGGAAATTTGAGGAGTGGAACACAAATATCCATATAATATATGATATTAAAAAGTATATATTATAAATTATAGTATAAGGTTGTGAAATAATTAAAATATATATGTAAGATGGAGTGGGTGACAGTGTGACACATTGTGGAATAGAAGAAGAGGAGCGCTTTGGTGTTTGGTTAAATTAATTGGAGGTGGCGTTTGTTTTGGTGAAGGTGGTCCAAATCCTCTCGCACGTGAACCCGCTCCTCCCCTCACTCATTCTATATCATTTTACAGTCACGTGCCTCGTGGCACACCCAATCAATTCCCTTTTTTTCTTTTTCTTTTTCTTTTTTTTTTCTTTTTGTTGGATGAATTAAAATTAAAATTAAAAAAAATAAAAAATACTTGATTTGCATTATGAGTAATAGACCCCTAAAATTAGGGTTGTTTTATTCATCAACGTGGTGGTGCTGCCCTTGTTTTGTTGGCGTTGGGTTAACACAATCATGCTGCCCGCTCTCCCTCTCTAAACTGACCCATTGCATATCATGCTCCCATTAAATTACGCCTTTACTCTCCCTTCTTCATTTCAGTCGCTAATTAATTAATTTATTTATTTTCATTTACTATTTTCTCATAACATATGCTTTGGATTCCATTCCTCTCGAGCCCTAGAGATGCTTTTCTCTTGCCCACACGTCCATCCCTATGCCTCTTCCAAGTCTCAACAAACATATATATATTTATTTATTTGTCTTTTAGGGCCATTTCTTTTAAATGTCTACAAATTATTAAAAATCATGAAATCCAAACGCCACGAAAAGGTCAAACTATAGAATAAAAAAGAGGGGAAGAAATTGAGAAGAAATAACTCAGTTTCTTATCCTTGGCCTTAGCAAAGAGGCGGAAGCTAACCTATGATCGGCTTTAAGTAGGGGCGAACACTATCGGTTCTCCTAATTCATATGATGTTATTTCAGTCGAGTTTTTTTTCATCCAAGTAAAAAAGGAAAAGGGATCATATGAAACTTTTTTTTAGTGCAGTTATTCATCTTACTCTAAACATATGTTACACTTCATCAATTCTTTGTATTAATTTTAATATTTGAATTAGTGTGTAGTTTTATTTATTTTTGCAAGTCTCGCTATTTACTTTTTCAAATAAATTTTATTGTTGTCATCACGGGAATGTTAAGCGCATTACCTTGTTTGAATTTTAACTCTTTCAAGAAAAGAAAATAGTTTGTTGATTAAATGTGCGCATTACATTCGAGGAGGAAAAACATGTAAATGTGAATCATATCTTAAATGAATACGATCACAACAAAAAATCATACATTACAAAAAAAAAAAAAAAAAATCAAATTGATGCCTACTGGCCATTGTTGGATGTTCCAATTACATGATCCAACGCTAAGAGATTCATGGATGAATGTAATTTAGATCTCAAATTGAGAGTTTCTCTTAAAAATTCGAGTACAATCAAGCCTCGATCAAATTCGATTGTGGAGTGACTCAATTTAGAACAAGGTTCCAAATCTTGTTTCTAGATATTTTATCGTAAGAGGGTAATCTAATTCTTGTCTTATCTCTTGTTTGATTCAAATTTCGTGTATAAGGAGTGTTAATTATTTTGATTCAAGGTTCTTACTTCAACAAAAGCTTGGATCATTGAGCTGAGGATTATGGTTGCCTTATCCATTTGGTATTAGAGCCAATCAGACAATTTTAGATGCAGATGAAATATATCTAGGCTAAGAATCCTCTTGCAAAGACCCAAAAAAAACAAGAGACTTATTCGAAACTCTCCCAAAAAAGAGAAGTGCCAAAGGTTAAGGACATGAGCGAACAAATACTCGAGTTCAAAAATCAAAAGGAGAGGTCGATCTTCAATAGGAACCAATTGAAAAGACAATATGGTCAAACTTACGAACGATAGAAGATAAACGAAAGAAAAAGAATGCATCATACGGTAGGCCCAAATCGACCAACAACCTTTGGTCGAGGCCAACCACACATTCTTTACCAAAAAACACAAGCATTCTACATTCACACAATCCTCACCTCAATCTCATTTACAACAGGGACGATGTGATTCGAGTATGACTCCTTACTACAAACAACTTTAATATACCGTTTATATTTTTAGGATTTAACATCGGAGTTATAAAATTATTAAAGGTAAAATAAGTAATAAAAAGAAAAGAAAAGAAAAAAAGATTGTGTGTGGGATAGAAAACTGAATGGAATGAACATCATGATCTCATGATTTATCCATTTGCCCATCCTTTTAGCATCAAGGTAGGGATAGCAATGAACAAGATGGGCTCATGGATGCCTCTCTTTCCCCAACCCTACACTAACTTTATCACTCTCTCATTCTTTTTCTTTATTTCACAATTTTAGCAACAAATTCATCAATTTCCTGGAGATGCCCTTCACATTTTTATTTATTTATTTATTTTATTTTTAACATAAGATTCCAATCAATTTACTTTTCTTTCCATTTCAACATTAAAAATTAAAACAATTAACACAAACAAAATAACCTTAACTATCAAACAAACAAACATTTCCGGTCCTCTCCATTAAAAAACTACAAATTAAAGAAACTTCCCATTTTTAAATTCAATAATTCCAAACTAAAAATTCTCATTTCCAATTCCAACAACGTAAAAACTTAAAAAAATTAACCTTAAATCATCAATTTAGTTTCCATAATTTTAATTTTTTATAAAATTTAATAGCTGGAAAAAAAAAAAAACAAAAAAAGACCGACTTTGATTGGAAGCCCAGATTTTGGATCTTGTGTCCGTTGCTTCTTCTCAATTATTATTTATTTTCAAAAATTTCAATATCTACAATTAAAAATTATAAATGCGTGAATCCACTTTAGATATGCCCCTATATATATATATAAATAATAATACAAATTCAAAAAGGTAACGTTGGGAGTTTATTAAATCCCCCATGTTCTATTTTGAAGTTTTCCTCTCTAAATTATTAAAATTTTATTACAAACTATGGTTTTTGTTTCCATCCCAACGGGTATGTTTTATTTTTTTGAAAAAAAAAGAAAAAATTCGTACTCGCGTTCTTGGACTAAACACAAACTTTTAAAAAAGGAAAAGAATAAATATGAATTCAATAAAGATATCGGACTAAATTATAAATAAATAATATAACTCGACTAGTGAAAATATATATTTACAACAGTAAAATAGTAAAAAGAATACTCGAAGAAATAAGTGCGAAACCAGCAATGGGCCAGCTACTACATGAGACATTGACCAAAACGACAATCCATCATAGACAAATGGGTGAGCCCCACAGACCAACAATCAAACTTGGGCAGTAATAAAAATTTATACTCCCACTCCCCACAGCTGTCCCAATTTATATTTACCTAATTCCTCCAACCTGTATATATATATATACATATTTTCTCCCATTATTTATTTTCAATTTACTATTTACTCCTTCTTCAATTATTATTTTTATTATTGTTGTTTTTACAGATGATAACTGCTATTTTTGTGCATACACATTTTTATTCTATCATGCCTTTACATTACTACTTAATTAAACCTTAACATTAATTAATAATCTCTACAGGTTTTTTAGTCTTTTAACGTTATGATTAATTATCCTTCCCATTTTTACCCTTTAAATTTCGACTTCGATTCTAAGTCAACAAGCCTCGTCAAAATATGATGTTAAAAGAAAATTTATTTTATGTTCGAAATATATTTCCAAATAAAAATTTTGTAACTCAAGTGAGCCGAATCATTCTTGTGATATTAAAGAACATTAAAGTTTATTTGGTCAATTGTATGTGAAATCTTTTATTTTATTTATTTATTTCTAATTATTCCACAAATAAAACACAAAACTTGAGATCGAATTTGGTTTTAGGAAAAAGAGAACCGTGAAAATCAAGAAGATATGTATTTATTTTATCATATATATTTATATTTGATTCTTCTCAACATTATTGAATACTGAGTTGTCGAATTAATTTTGCCTTTAACAGTATGGTTTGGCGTCGATCCATGAAGAGCGTAGTTTTCATGAGATTTGTCTGTGTGTTTTCCAACATTTTAAAGGTTTAGTTAGTTGGATCGCCTCTTGTATTGGTATCTTTGTCACGAGCATCATGCGCTCGTTTATGGTAGCGTAATTTTATAAATATATTTAATGGGTAAAAAGAAATTAGGTTTTTTATTTTTATGGTAATGAAAGGAAAAGAAGGAGAAGACGAAGAATTGATATGATATGATACGAGTTTGATAGGAAAGAAAAGGGGATTGAAGAGGGAAAGAAACTCAATATCTCATCCGGTTGTTTTGGCGGCAACGAAACCGGTGTTTTCGCCCGCCTCCCCACTCGCCAAAGTCCACTCTTTTCCCTCTTTTTTTTTTTTTTTTTTTTCTCCTCACCTTCGCCCTCTTTCTCCACTCCATGTTTTGGGCTTGTTCGTGGGTTTTAGGAGTTAAGGAGCTTCTCTACAAATTTACCCACATTCCCCTTTCTTAGACTTTTCTTCTTGTTCGAATGTACAGAGAACCCGACGCCCAGATATGGGGTACACTACTGACCGAGCTTCTTCTTTCTCTCTCTCCAATCTATTGTGTCAAGAAGATGCGTCTTTCTTGACTGACGATGACCCCGATGAACCCACCGCCCCTTCCGACCCGGTTCCCTTTTTTCTCGCCGATGACGATGATGAGTATTTTGAGATCTTAGTTGCAAGAGAGACTGGGACTGAATCTACAACCCCTTTGCCCTTAAATCATTCTCCGCCATCTATCCAGACCTGGTTGAGGACTGTCCGATTGGATGCAATTGAATGGATTCTCAAAGTTCGTCTTCTTTTTTGCTACAATTCGACTTACCCTTCAATGGATTCGTGTTTTTGTTTTGTTTTGTTTTGTTTTTGTTCTTTTGGGGATTTTATAGCTTGGTTTTGTGTCTGTTCTTTGATTTAGAGTCAGGTGCTTTTTGGATTTCAATTCCATACTGCGTATCTATCCATCACCTATTTCGATCGGGTTTTGTCTATCCGGAACCTTGTAAGCTATCTAATCCGTCAATCTGAATGTTGGGTTATGCCGATCAAGTGTTTGATTAATTGATTCTTCTGTAATTGACGGACAGCAAAAGAGGTCGTGGATTTTCCGATTGTTGGCTGTGGGATCCCTGTCACTGGCGGCTAAGATGGAGGAATCTAAAACCCCTAAGCTATCGAGTCTTCAAGTTGAGGGATTTGATATGGAAAGCAAGGCAATTCAAAGAATGGAACTCTACATTCTTAATACCTTGGGATGGAGAATGAGCTCAGTCACTCCCTTTTCTTATCTACAATACTTAATCCGAACGATCTTCATCGACTCCAATTCACAAGGATTACTCTCTAAAGCTGCGAAGTTTATAATGGCAACAGTTAAAGGTATCATCCGATCCCCCATTTCATGATTAATCGCTTCTTCATTTGCAACTTCAATTGATCTGTTCATTAAACTGGGACTTACGGTACAGAGATTAACTTAGTGGATCATCGACCATCTATCATAGCTGCCGCTTCATTATTAGCTTCATCTGATGCTCATATGACAAGAGAACGGGTTGAGCTTAATTTGAAAGCGATACCTTCATTTGGGTCTTTAGAATATGTGAGTTCTACTGCTTTGAGATGGTTCATAGTGCATAAATCAGATCCGATGTGCATGTTTTTGCTTATTTTGTTCTTGCATTGTTGAAAAATGCAACAGGAAGATGCATTCTTTTGCTATAATCTGATGCTCAAAACTGAGAAAGGGAATGTGAAAGAAGAGATTATTGGAACTCCATCATCTTCAATCTGCACAACCACCCCTAATATTGTTGACAACCGTTCTGCTACCTCCACTTCTGGTACTAAGAGTAAGAGACGACTCACATTCGAGGAGTCCGATCCAGATTGTCCGGAGAAGAAGATTCATCGGCCATAGTGAAACATAGTATGGTATTAATAATGAGAATCTAGGATGTTTTTCACTCCAACATTGTTGTTCGAGATAAATTTTTGTTGATCAAACGATTGGGGCTTCATTTTTCCAATACCCAATAAAGGATCCAGCAGTGACAGACAAGAAATAGAAATAAGGGAGAAGTAAATATGAGAGAAAGGGATAATTATAGCCTGGACAATGGAGTAAGAACAAGAAGATGAAGAACACAAGAAGAAGCTGACTTAGTATAAGAAAAAGAAAACCATCAAATTCCAAGAGAATCCTTGAAGGAGACTGAAGGTTGTTGTGGTTATTGCTAATGTTTTTATGTTCATGATCACTTGATGCTGTCACTTGCTCTTTTCATTATATTTATTAAATTTTGTTTTATTTAGTTCCATTGTTTTTGCCATGATGATCACGAATTTTATTGTTGAGTATCTATTGCCACCCTACCTTTTGATGGGAGGCTTGGGATGCTTCCCCCTTCTCTTTCAATACACTGGAGCTGATAAAGTTTGTGCTTTCCTGTGTACCATTTGAGCCATTTGGAAGAAGTGTATACATAACATTAATAAGAATGTTGGAATACCTTTTGATCCATTGTTAGGATTCTTTCATACTCTTCCTCACTCACTCACTTCAAACTCGAAACTAATTCATCTGTTCGTTGTTGGTTTGGCTGGCTCTATTCTCCTGTTTTTCTTCCTCACTTAGTCATTTGATATTCTGAAACAGGAAAAGAGTTTCTGATCGAAGGGAAGTTCGGGAATGTCTCTTCCTACTCGTTGAGTGACGATCTTGGCTTATATCAGATGGTTTAGTTGGGGAATGAGGGATGGGGGGAGGATGAAAAGGGTGTGGTAGTAGCTATTTTGAGTGAGAGATGAGGGGCAGGAGTGAATTATTTTGGTTGAAAGTTGGCGTTGGTGATGCATCCCATTTGTTTTGGTTGGGATATGGTGGGAGAAGTTAGGCATTGAGATATCTGAGAAGATGGGTGTCAGTGGTTCCACATATCATACCTCTTTTAGTTTTGGTTTTGTAATGGAAACACTGTCAGTGGTTGATGACTACAGAGTGTACTGTTTTCCCCCCATGGGGATGAAAACACTGGAAGCCACACCCAAGTAAGGGAGACTAATCATACCACAAAAGCCTCATACCCTAACTTCACCGTTAAGATTCCATCTATGCCCCATCTCCAATCTCCACTCGCAAGTGGCTTGATCCCTCCTCAGCATTTCTTAGAAGGGTGTTGAAACTTTTTTTTGACAGATGCGTTTTAAAATGTGATGCTGATTACGATACATAACGCGCTAAAGCAGACAATATTTGCTCGCGGTTGGGTTAAGATGTTACAAATGGTATCAGAGTCTGTCATCAGGTGATGTACGACACGGGTGGATTGTGAGATCTCACATCGGTTGGAGAAAGGAACATCATGAAGCTCAACGGCAGAGATCGAACTTTTAACTACCCACATTAACAATACTTTTCCTTTCTAAATCATGTAAAGGTCGATCTTTGTTCTCAGTTTATCTTGGTTCTATCATATTTATTAAATATAAATTAATTAGAAATGACCGTAGAAAAATGGAAAAAATGTATTTATAATATAAATTAGAAAGGAATGACGTTTCATTTCGTTCATGAATGATAGTTCTATGAACAAAGTTCAATTATTTGAATTCTTAGCTTGGGTCTTCCCTTCATTAATTGTATGTTTGCACAAATAGAGAAATGAACCTTTAATTAACAAATATTTAAATATATGAACACTAATTAGTTCTGGGCCGGCCCAAGTTATACAGACGTGGGGGACGAGACTATTGTGAAAAGGGCGCGAAAATGCTCAATTCAAATTCGAATGGGGTTATACTAAACGTACCTGTCCGTGAAGATTGGTAAAAAAGAAGCAGCAGAGTATCAGAGTCAACCGGAGATGCTCCGTCATGGTCATCATTTCTCCGTCTTCGCCTTCGAATTTTGAAGTACAGAGGATGAAGCGATTCTCCTCCGTCGTCGAATGGAAGGAAGCGACAGTTTTGGCCTCAGTTTCCGTTTCCGACGACTCTGTTTAAAGACGAAGGAAGGACTCCAACCCCATATATAGCAGAAAGGGATATCGAAATAGAGATAGTAGAAGTTTGTCTCCCATGGAGAAGAGGTTGCGTTCATCTCTTGAATCCTCGGCGGGAGAATTCGTCTCGTCTGCTGTAAAACTAAGCCTCAAGTCATCAAAGCACGCGCTCAAAACCCTAATTCATGGCGTAAAGTCTTCTTCAGATCTTTCCTCCTCTATTCCTCTAGCCCTCCAACTTTCTGTTTCTCGTGCAATTGAAACTTTTCGGAATCTTCTAGGCACCAGTTTCACGAACTCTAATCCACAATTCAACTCTAGTCCCTCCAAGTCCCCGCAGTCTCCTCCCACTAAACGTCTGCGACGATCTTTGCGCCATTCCAAAACTCGGGAATTTGAAGATTTAGAAAGTGGTGAATCCAATTCGAACTTACGAAAGGAGAAAGTTCTGGCAGAGCTCGAAATTTTGTCGTACCTTGTGTTCTTGTGCATTTCGCACCCTAAAAGAGTATTTTCTCTGATCGATTTACTGCCGTGCGCTCGGGAGTTGCACGATAATTTGGTTATATTAGAGTCGAATTCCGTATTGTCAACGGAGATTGCAAATTTGTGCGAGGAATGGTGGAAGGAGGACTTGCCGGGGCGAGAATCACTGATCTCTCTGTCCCTCCCTTTCCTGCTCTCTAGATCGTTGACGCTAAAGAAGAAGGGGGATGTGCACAAGGTTTATATGCTTCGTGAGGCATTTTCCTTGTTTGATTTTGAAGACGAGAGTATCAAAGATTTGAAACTTTTGCTAATTCGTTGCGTTATTTCACCTCTGTATTTGAAAACCGAGGATGGTCGTCGGTTCCTGGCATATACGTTTGGCTTAAGTCGGCAGCTACTGAAGGAAGCGTTGGCAATTATCCGATCCCAAATTCCATTTGGAAGAAAATCTATGTTGGAGGGGTACGGAGACATCGTGTTTCGTGCTTGGCGGAATTCTGAAGGAGATATAAGAGATGAAATGGAAAATGGTTTTTTGCAGGGTCTGGTGGAGGTTGCCATACATGCGAGCACAAGTGCGTTTAGTGCTTCCATTAGAAGGGTTTTAGGAGCGTTTGTAGACCAGCGAACTGTCGACGGTGTTGAGAAGCTTCTTTTCCGTCTAACTGAGCCTGTGATATTTCGATCGCTGCAGGTACTTCTCTCTTTCTAGCAATCCGTTCTTAATTCACAATTGAATGTCTCTATAGCTCAATTGGTATGAGCAGTAGCAATTAATGTGTTCTTGTGACATTCTGAAATTCATTAGTCTGCACTCCTCATCTTGTTCATAGTAAACAGTTAAGAGGGAAAAAAGGAACGATTGAATTAACTTACTTCGAAGGTTAGAAGATGAATTAAAATGTTGAGGATGTATGAAACAATTGAATTTTTCTTTAGGATTTGGTTGTGATAGTGTTTTAGTAAGGTTTCAGTACTAGCTGAGCTTCTACTTCTCAATCTATTAACGATTTAGAGTGTGCTTGGATAAACATTCTAAGTGATCTTGAACTGCAAAATTGTCTCTCTTAAGAGTTAGATAGTTTGGTAACAAAGCAAAAATAATTTTTTGAAATAGTCACATCGGTTTAATCATCTTTTGATGGATCACTTCAAAGTTAATAGACGCAACTTCTATTTAACGTTCATGTATAATATACTCGGAGGATTCTGCTTATGGAAGTATGTATTTAGGCTTTGGTTAGTACACGGTTCTTATCATCCTGCTGAATCTCTTGCCAGGTTGCAAATTCAAATGTTCGTCAAAACTCATTGCACCTACTTTTGGATGTGTTTCCTCTGGAAAACCCAGATGCTACAAAAGAGCTAAAGGACACATTGCTCGAGAAACAGTTCTTTTTAATAGAGAAGCTTCTCATGGATGAATGTTCTGATGTGAGAGTCGTAGCAGTTGAAGGTTGTTGTCGCATTCTTTATTTATTTTGGGAAATAATCCCTTCATCGACCATCACAAAGATCATTACCAAAATTTTTGATGAAATGTCGCGTGATATATCCAATGAAGTCAGGCTTTCAACATTGAATGGCATAATCTATTTGTTTGGAAACCCTCAATCCCATGAGATTCTTAAAGTGATCTTACCAAGGTTGGGGCATTTGATGCTGGATAATGCGCTTTCGGTAAGAGTAGCTCTAGCAGATATCCTCCTCCTTATCAGGGATGTTCGTGATTTCCAGTTTAATAAGGTAAGGCTATCATATTACTAATTTTTTTTAAGCATAAATGCTACAAAGGCGTGTTCTTTCCGATAAAGTATCCTCGAATGTTTCTGTAGGTGGTCAGTTTAGATGTATTGTTAACGGTACTCGCACATGATCAACCCATTATTAGCCAGAAAATTACTAGATTGCTGATACCTTCGTATTTTCCCACCAAAGTATCAATTGAAGAGGCATGCAGTCGCTGCATAACACTTATAAAGCGGTCTCCCATGGCTGGAGCAAGATTTTGTGAATTTGCTGCGTCAGAAGGGGCATCTCTTAAGTCAATTAAGGAGCTTGTTCAAGCATTAATCAATTTGGTTTCGTCCTCTGCCAAGCTGGATGAAAATTACATTGATGGCTTACTTCTTTCAGCCAAATACCTCTGCAACAGCATTTCTAGTGAACTTTGTTATAAGAACGATCTCAAAGATTTGTTCACCGGTGAAAAATTGAAGTGCTTGCTCTCTGTAGCACATTCTGGGCGTGCACGATCTTCTTTATTCGACATTGTGTCCATGTTCTCTCCCGATGATCTTACGGATCTCCTTGAGGAGTGTATGCAATTAATTACTAACTGTAGTGGTTTGTCGGGTGACTTAGCAAAGCAAGCTGAAGTGAGGTCTGGCCATAAGTTTTTCCAGGCTTGTGATGCACTGGATGTTATGTTCGAAGCCATGACATTGTTACTACAGAAATCTGCTTATCGTTGTCACATTAGATTTGGTACTGAGATACCAAAGTTGAGTGTTTCCCCTGCAAAGAGAAAGAGATGCAAATTATCAGGGAAAGTACTATCTAAATTAAAGCGTTTTGGTGGAAAAAAGTGTATGAGCTTTGAAGGCGACTACCTTGTTGCAGTAGGAATATCGTGGCAAGTTAAAGATTTGGTTTCAGATGAAAAAATGAAGAGTGCTTTATTGAGTTCTCAGACTATAGAGACCATATTTCTTACTTTAAAAGTTATCTGTGAAGTAAGTATTGTGGAATGCGTTGATTACGAGTTTATGGATGTATCTCCCGTTCTAGCATATACATCTCTTGCTTTGCACATGGCGCTAAAGAAGTGTTGCAGCAAAAATAGTACGAGTAATAGTGGAACCAAGAACAAAATTGTCACAGATTCTTCTAGTTCAGAGGCAAGTGCTTATACTTTGATATTCTGGTAACTTGAAGTACTAGTCCCTATTCCCCTTGGATAGGATGAACTGTATACGGTGTCTTCTTGTTTCTTAGATATATGTTCCCATCCAGCTCTCTTTACCTTCCACTTAAAATTGCTTAACTGCCCGGTTAATTACTCAAATAGTATTGCTATTACAATATTATCAAATAATTCCTGTTTGATGAAAAACTGTAATTTTTATTATTAAGATTTTATTCTAGTTGAGCAAAGTGTTTAGTACAAAGTTTCTTTTTTATTATGTTACAGTAGTTTCAACTTTACTTGCCAACGGAAACTCATTTGAAGTTGTGGAAATTATCATACTGTCTGATCCACGTTTTACCTTTACAGTATATTTCTGAAGTCTTATCATTCTTCTGCAGGCAATATTGGAGCAGACGCTTGATCACTTGCTTAACTGCGTTAAGAAACTGTACGAGTCAGAGGACCCTAGAAAACCTGATGAAGCTAAGCGAGGTGTCAGAAAATTGTCTCAACATGTAGAAAAAAAGCTGAAGGAATCTGGGAGAAATCAATCTCACCCTCTTGAGGGAGGTAAGCAATTCGCAAGTGAATTCTACTCTTGAGTGTAAACTAGCTCAACTAATACTTCAAGTTGAAATAATGACCGAAGTACTTTGTTTTGTTAGATTAAATTTATAGAATGAGATGCCCTGATACTCTTAATCTTGCTATATGATGCTGCTTTTCAATTCTTTGTTAATGGATCATTATTTCAATCCATGTTTTTAATAATCATGGGATAAACTCAAAATAATAAGATCTTATAGGTTTTCTGATTCTTGAAGTTAGCTCAGATGATACTTTCAAATTAGTTGATGAAGAACATTAAAAAGAACCATGCATCTAATTGTTTTGGGATTCAGGTTTTTAGTAAAATCTTAGATTTTTGTTTTTTGCAATACTTGTTAGCATATATACTATTTCTATAAACGTGAATGACAAATTGTTGACATTTGTAGTTATTCATGTAGGATGTGTTGATCCTTTAAAAAAGACGTTGAAGCAGGGGAAGAACCTTACAGCTATCCTCAAGTTCATTGTTGATTCTATTTCCATGGGCTTTCTTTCAGAAAAGTATGAATTGTGCTTGAAATTTGCTTCAGAGTATATGCAACTCATCACGTCGATTTTAGGCCAACAAGTTTATAAAGATATTCAGTTCGAGATGGAAACGAAAGAATTTTTCCTCTGTCTAAAGTGCTCATTAACCTATGCTGCCAAGTTATTGAATCAAGTGTTAAGACATGTGAAAGATTCATCGTTGACGCAGATTCCTATTCTTGGCCATAATTTGCTTGATTTGATAGCCTTAGTTGAAGTACATTTGGGGTCTGGTTATGCAGCACGTCTTGTTGCGGTGGCAAAGTCTTGGCTTCCTGATCTGATTTTGGCTTTAGGAGCTGATTGCATAATAAAACCTGTTGAAGGAGAGGAGGCGCACATGTACTTCTTTGAGCAAGCCAAAATTAATTTTCCCCCATGGATATCAATGGTTGCAAAGATCGAACTTCTCAATTTGAATGAAGATTCTACCGAGGAGGACGATGACAGATCTCTAGACCAACATAAATTTTCCATATTTAAGAAATTTCTGAAGATGACTATCACATTTTTAGAAAGAGATCACCACATCTTGGATGCAGTTGGAGCGATTTTTATGATTGGCTCAGAAATTGGGTTGGAAACAAAGGACTTTGGGCTGGTATTGGGACTTCTACAGTTCGTGTGCCGAAGCCTGTACAGTGCTGACGACAGAGAGTGGGGTGATATTATGTTGGCTTCTTTGCAACGTTGTTACCCTCAGATAGAGAAAGAATTATCACAATGTAATGGAGATGAACGTCATCAGTTGGATAGGGCAAAGGCTTTGCTTGAACCCATATGGTTGTACCATATTTTCGAAACTGGTAAAGTTTTCGATGATGAATGAGTAGACAAACCTCATGTTATTACAGTACCGAACGTTATTTATCTTTTAGTTTTCCTGGAAGAAGCATACCTTTACTAGTGAACCCGAGCATGGCTAAAATCAATAGGCTTTCAAGGGATAAGTTTGTTAATTATAGATCTAAGTAAAGGATATTGGGATAGGAAAGAAAGGGTAGCCTGCACACCCCATGAGCAGACTCGTGCTCTTTGACAGACAACAAACTATTCAAGTGGGTGGGGGGTATTCCACAGTTCATAACAGAAGCGGGAAAAGGAAAAAGAAAAATGAGAGCCAGTTTTGAATGTCGTGGAGAGGAGATTATTGGTTCGGCCCTATGAAAAGAAAACTGAAAAGTAACAATTGTTCATCCATGGGAATCGGCAGCTTTAAGGCCACGGCATGGACCTGCCCACATCAACTTTTATAGAATGTGTTGGTGTTGGTGTTGGTGTTGTAAGGGAAGAGACTTGTAGTGTCAACGGTGAGATTTTAGGCCACATTGAAATAAAGTTAGCCTGTATTTACTCTGGCTGGTAAGTTTATTGAAATGACGCATCACATTCTCACGCTCCTCGCAAGATACACGGCTAGTTCAAATGAGAAAGACCAGCCAGAAAGTACTTGAAAGTTGAAAGTGAACTCAGGTACTATAAACGTAGCCTTATCTTTATACGCACTCATGTTTTTGTTTCTGTATTTTGTAATTTTAAAGCGAATCATTCACCTTCTGTGGGCCAAAAGTAGCATCACTGGGAAAGAGCTTTTTTCTTTTTTTTCTTTTTTTTCTTTTTTTTTTTCCATTAGTGGGGGCCATAATTAGAAAAGTAAGATGGCTGGCTTAAATAAAGAACACCCTCCTCCCTCCCTCCCTCTGTCAAATCCCATATGAAAAATCTTAGACTTTTGAAAAGTTTCCTCAGGAATTTAGAGAGAGAGAAAGAAAGTGGGCATTGAAAGTCAGCATGAGGAGGCCACTACACAGCCCATTTGTGCCACTAATGAGCGAATATCTCAGCGGCCGTCCTAAGATTCTGAGTGCCTCCACAGGCTCGAAGTTCTATTCCCAAAACCCAATGCCTTCTTTTCCCTCCCCTTCTAAGTTTTTCTTCTCTCTTTACTTTCTATTATCTATCTAATCTCCAACTTAACCAATTTGATATCATTCAAATTTACTTGCTTATTAATGCCATTTTGCTTCATCTCCATCCACCAACTCCACTTGTGATATTGGACCTCTCTTCTCTTCCCATTGTGACAATTGTTTGGATCTTACTCGTTTTAATAATGATTCTAAAAAAAGTGGTTCATTTCCTATGCAATCCAGAATATTTCTACTATTTTTTTTTTTAAAGTTAAAAAGACATTTACTATTTGATATAATTCCAATCTTCTTTACTAAATATTATGTGCACATCCTATAAGGTTGTGTTTCGGACTCAATTGAGAACATTAAATTATTGATACTTTTTCTTTCTTTCCATTGTTGTGTAGAATGCAATAGAGAGAGGTTATATAATTAAGATTAAGATTAAGATCAAGTGGAAACGTTACTGATTTCTTGAACCTTTTTTCTTCTTACCAAAAATATTCGTCAACATTTTACTTCTTCTTTACATATATATTAAAATTAAGGTATAGTAATGATTATTTATCTAAAAGTTAAATTCCTTCTACGTGATGCATTGTTGTTCTATAATTTGAAATGGTAATGAAGAGAAGAAAAGAAAAAAGGGAAAAAAAGGTTCATAAAAATGGGGAAATAATGACAAATTAAGAATTAAAATGTACCTGAATTGTATTAAAATCACTGGAAATAGATACTTTAATTTATGTTCCCTCCCTTTTTTTGGTTCCAAACGGCCTTGCCCGAGGGTTTCCCCCATCCTTCGGCCATGTGCTAAAAGCCACCAACTGAACCATTTCCATTTCGATGGACCCACTGGTGAAGGTCAGTCAAGGTTTCCATGCACTGGCCCACACCACCGGCTGCTCTTTCCACGTCAAGAATATTCCGGCGACGTCCGAGCTCTGTGTCATTGCCCACCCTTCCTTGTACCTCCTCAATAGTGCCCTTACGTCGTCGCATACTTCGTCGCTGAATATCAGCGGACTGAAACCGCTTCCATGCAACCGCTGTGCCCACCGAGCTGCCGATTCCCTTCTCTCCACCGACTCCGCTGCCGAGCAAGCCACCAGGTCCACGATTGCCCTACCGGCTGCTCTCTCAAGCATCAACCGCTCGTTGCTTGTCCTCGTGAAACTCTCGTCCAATGTCTCGAAGTAAACCCTAAACCAACGCAGACATTCTTGGAACCCACTCAGAAATTCAATCCCATCGACGCCTACGTCGAGGTCGGCTTCCTCTTCTATCACCGTGATTATCCGCGGCCGTAAACTGCGGAAAGATGCAATCAAGAAATCTCGGCGGTTATCAACTGCCGCCACGGAACGTAACGCTCCGATGCAGTTGACGGCGAGTGCCTCGTCTTCTTTGATGTCTAATTTCGCCAAGTCCAAATCTGAAAGGTCACCGGAATGGTATAGCGTGTGGAATTTGAAAGGTACGCCCATAAGCCTAGCGAACTTTTCCATTCTTGTACCTATTTCCTTCATTACTTTTTGAGATGCGGCTACTCCACTTCCATCGCCGGGTTTAGTGATGACGACAGTTGTGAGGCGTAGGTGGGGCGTATCGTCGGTACGAGTCGCGAGGGCTTCTAGCAAAGTGGGCCACTGAGTGCAATACGTGTTACTGATATCGATTATGTGTAGCTTTGATTCGCCTTCTAAGGCTTCAATTAGTGCGCCATTGCAAGAAACATGCCCAAAAGTGGTCCAGGGACTAACCTCCTGAAACTTGAGCATCATTTTCCTAGTTGATTCGAATGAGCATGATTTCTCTGAGGCGGAGGACAAAGCGCGATAATTACGGTCGCCGGAATCAGTCATGCGGGTAAACAAGGCCTGCAGGAAATAGGCAGCTAGCTTTTGATCCGTATCCCCATAGGGGGAGCTAAGTTCGTTTAGCATCCACATCAGCTGCTGAACACGAGCACTATTCCTGTCAGAAATGGCCCTGGCGGTTTCCAGGAGAATATCAGGGGCCCACCTGCCGGAAAATTCGAAGTTGAAATCCGGAGCGGGGGAGACGAATGAGAATTGATCGATCGGGGTTGGGGTGGTGGCGGTGGGCGTGGTGGAGACGGTGGAAGATGGGTTGGGAAGGTAAGGATTGTAGTATTGTCTAGAATTACTAGACGATGAGAAATTTTCCTCATCCATGAGAACGTTGTAGCATTCTTCGTCTTCCTGTTGATGGTAATGATATTGGTTTTGTCTAGACGATCTAGAGCTGCTAGAATTGGTTCTACTTCTACTGGAGTTGTAAGATTGTTCGGACTGAAGATTGACAAGCCGAAACAAGGTATCCATTTAAGACCCACATCAAAAAAGAAAAAAACACTCGGAATCTCCTTAGTCTTTTGGACTTAGAACAAGTTGTCTGAAAGTGAGGATTCGTTTCAGACTGCGAATTTAGGTGGTGGGTTAATGCCTAAAACAATAACACAGCTAAAGGTGAGAGAAAGATGGGGAGGAATAATGGAGAGGGGGGGAAGCCTTTGGGGTTCTTATTTTAAAACCCTCTTCTGTGGAAGCAAGCAAGTAGACGATTGTTTTTATGGGCTAAATCTGAAATGTAATATAGCCATAACACATAGAGCATGGTTGGGATTGTGTAAAAAGTAGAGAAGGGGAGTGGGATTGGTTTAGAAATAGAATTCTGGTTCTGACAAAAAGATGATGGAAGTGTGATAAAAAGAAAGGAAAGGTAAGCATGTCTAAGAAGATGATCGATGGTGTTAGCTAGTGGATTAGCTTTTGCATTATTTTAGAATTTAGAGAGGGAGAGAGGGTGTGTTTATGTTATTAGAAGGTTGTGTGTTTGAGTGGAGTGGAGTGGAGGGCAGGCGTGCCGATTGGAGTTTGGGTAATAGAGAGAAAGAGAGAAAAAAAATAATAAGGTAAAGCTGCCGGCGTGCATCAGCATCATAGAAGAAGAAGCCACTCACATTTGTTTGCCTCCTAATCTCTCTCCAAACTCTGCCAAAATTCTGGGTTCGCTTTATACTTTTCATAAACCCCCCCTCCACCCCATACATGATGACAATGTGGTATAAATAATGATGTACACTTTTACCAATACAACCATCCCCTTCCCCAATTTCCATTTTCTAATTTCTAATTTCTAGGGCATGCTTTTGATCCAACTTTATTCCCTCCCCACCCCCATCTAGTTTAATGTTTTTACCACAATATTCTTAAGGCATCTATCTCTTGTTGCAGCAGCCCTACGCCCCTTTCTCCATATAGCCCCAACCATTCTTCTTCTTCTTCTTCTTTGTCACCTCGCCTCCCTCCACACATGATATTGGCTCTCATGCTCTTGCTCTTTCTCTAACCCCATGTTCAAGTTTTCTGTCCTTCTCCCATTTACCTAGAAATTTGTCTTCTTTTGGTTGAATGGCTGTATCTCTAGGTTTTAGGACACTTGTTTTTTATATTGGAATCTTCATGTGTGGATGAATTTATGTTAGGGGGATGATTGTGGCGGAAAATCTATGTGAGAATTTATAAGATTTGATGAATGATTTGGTCAACTCCATTTTTGGTGTCTGTTGTCCTTCATTTTTAGAAATTTGTTCTTTATTCCAAGCAGAGCATCATTGCTGAGAGAGAACCCAATTTCCCATATCTTATCTTATTATTATTTATAACTTAACACACACAAAACAAAAGGAACGAACCTTCAGTGTCTTTCCTCCATTTTGTTTTTCTTCCTTTCCATTATTCCTTTTCTTGTTTTCTTTCTCCCTATCAAATGTCTCTTGAATTTAACCCCTAATATTTCTCTTTCAAACTAAAGTGGTTTATTAAACTTTTATGCTCTTTTACTATAAATTTCTATATATTCTTTTTCTTTTTGAGTTTGATCAAATGTTGATCATGATATGTTTTAATTTTTATTTTTTTTTACGTTTAATTGATATTAGTTCTCTTTAAATTAATTATTTGTTGTACATTTAGTAATTGCTGAATGTTTTATTAATTTATTTATACAATCTCTTCTTTTAAGTTTGAGATACAACTATTTCTAAATAATACAAAAGTGATGTTAAACAAATTGATTTCCAAAGCTATCACAGACCATTTTCTTTGAATGATGGTGATCTGTGTTGCAATACAATTACAAAATTATTAATGAAAGACCATAAGTAAAGAAAAAATAATAATTCAAGAGAAGAATGAAGCAAAAACAAATTAAAAAAAAAAAAAACGAAAAAGCAGATTTAAGTATAACTTTCAAAAAAGAAGAAAAAACATGAGGGGATGGGGAAGCTTGAGTAAGGAGAGAAGAATTGGAGGAGATGGCTACCTTGAAAAATAAAAATTGAAAGTGTAATTCAGCCCACTTTATACAGGATATTTCAATTCAAACTCGAATTTAATTTGATTTTGAATCCAATTAAATCTTAAATTAGAAATTTCAATTCAAAATCATTTGAAAAAGAAAATTGAATAAAATTGTCTCAATATAGATATAAAATAAAATAAAAAATTGTGATATGAATAACATTTCAATTAGTTACATAATCCTAAAATAGACCCAAATTAAATTCTAACCCATTAGATACTTCAAATCCAGGGATTGGTTGAAATGTGTGGTCCAAAATCTAAAATGAATGCAATGATTAAAGTGATTGTACGCTTGAAATAACAACTTCAAACCTCTTCTATGTAAACAACTTTTGTGAATAAATTACAGGTTAAGTTGTTGAACTCGAAAGAAAAAGGAAAAATAAAAAAAGAGAGAAATAATAATAATAATAATAAGAATAATAAATAAGGATTGGTTTCATTCAATCAACACCAAAAGCAGATGCTTCTCACCCCTGATATTGGTAACTGATGATCATATTAATTTGTTGATCAATCAATAACTAATAGTTAATTGCTATTGTTGGTTTGATTAGCATTTTGCTTACTCCAATGATGAGCTAACACTTAAACAATGGCTTTAAAAAGAAAAGGTTAAAATGAAAATATAAAATATGGTCTAAATTATTAATAACAATTTGCAATTACGCTTAATAAATAAAATTAAAAAAAAAGCTAATTTATCCTTACCTTCAAGTTTGAAGTTCTTGAATTACATATTGCCAACACTCGAGATGATAACATAATTTGAGCTATGGAAAAGTGATCTGCTACGACCAGCGAAGAGCAGAGTGAAAACTACAGGTGGGTTTCAAGATATCTCAATCTGTGTGGGCCAATATAAGTGGGCTAAAGCTGAGAGACTTAGAGAGTAAGCAGCGACACAGAAAAATGATCAAAATTTAAAGTCTGGATCGACAGCAAAGCTGTGAACAAGATAATTCAGCAGTGTTGGGTACGGTTGAAATACAACTTTACTTGGAAATTCAGCATGCGGTCAAACTCATTTCTTTTAGTACAAAAAATATGAGAGTATGAAGGTTCAAATCTCCAATTCTAAGTATGAGTACACGGCTGAGTTATCCTCACTTTGGCATATAACTACTCACTACTCCTTAGCAGAGAAACAGCTTTGAAATATAAATACTATTGGAAGAAGTAGAGCCGTTCTTATATCTGCCAATTGATTTTTACAGCACACTGTCGGAAAAGGAGGATTCATGTCTGAATTAAGCTTCTCCCTCTTTTTCTCACTCTCTCTCTCTATCTATCTCTCTTTTTGGGTTTGGGGGAAGGGTTGTCCTTAGGCATAATCTACAACTCAAGAGTTTGTGAAATGAACTTCTGTCGTCAGTAATGGATTCCAGAACTCAATAGGCCAAATGCACCCTTTTTACCCGCTCCCCATTCCAATAACTTGTAAGATTTAAACACCAAAAGAAAACGGTAACTTAAGGGCTAGCTGCAAAACCTATGCCCTTTTCTAAATTGGTCTATATGGATTCTTACCACGAAGAGAAGTCTTTGAACTCTCCTGCAGCTGTCCTTTTCTTGGTCGAGGTAGTTGCTCCTAGACTAGCATCAACAGCAGGGGGTTTGGATTGGGTATTCCTTGCTTTCAGGTATTTCCCTACACCGCCACCTGCAGCTCCATTTTCAGCTACCCCGGTGCCTGGGTTGCTATACCATGATCCAACCTTATCCTGAAATAAACGCAAAGATACTCATCTGAGCTTATCAAAAGAGTTTTTCAAATAATGATGACGAATACTATAAGCTCCAACAAAAGTCATTGGGTTGTGGAGACAAACGTTTTCTTCATCTTCAACATTCTTCTCGTCTTTTTGCTTGTTTTCTTCTTCTTCATCGGGTTCCGAGTATGGATTGACAAAGACTGTGACACTTGTAATCTTGATCTCCTCCTGCACAAGTAAAAGATGAGATGCGTTGGGTCATCACAGTAGGAAGTAAGGTTGAAATATCTAGGGGGAAAAGTAATGTCCAAAGCATTGAAAAGTAACAAATTATGTTTGCCAATCATTCCATAGAAATGTCCATATATGCCCATTAACATCCTCAACCATTCGTACACACACATGACTGACTTAATTGAGCTTTAAACTAGAGGATTCTTAATATTTTCAAAGGGAAAATAGGCAAAGGGCGTCCTAGAAAAGAAACATGCAACGGAAATCATGCTGACCACAAAAAATGGAAGGTTTAAAATTACAAAGATAATAAAGAACTGACCAGAGGCCGATCATTGTCATCAACAGGAACCTTTTCCATAGCTGCCAAAGCAGTCAAACCACCAACAACACCGCCAAATACAGTATGCTTGAAGTTTAAATGATTGGCAGATTTGTATAGAATAAAGAACTGGGAACCATTAGTGTGGGGACCACTATTTGCCATACTGACAATTCCCCTTCCAGAATGAAGCAACTTGGAGTTGAGTTCATCTTTGAAGGGCTTTCCCCATATAGATTCACCTCCTCTCCCAGTACCAGTTGGATCACCACCTTGAATCATAAAATTCCTACATTATCACACCTTCACCATGTAAATACGCCAAATAATAAGATTATAATTATTGAACTGCAGTCTGCAGCAGCATCGTACCTAATACTTCTATGAAAAGCAACTCCATTGTAGTAGCCATTTTCACACAGTGTGATGAAATTCTCACATGCCCTTGGAGTAATATCACAATGCAGCTCAATATTCAAATCTCCATGAGTTGTGTGCAACTGTACATATCCTTTCTTCTTTGGATTTTTCTCAACCTTGATATATTCGTGTTCATTCTTTGTAACAGGATCGTAAGATGTAGATGTAAAGGATCGGGATGCAGCCCCAGTAGTGTAACGACTCTTTACCTGTAATAACAACTTATGTTAATAATTCATTTAGATGCCAAAAAAATTATAAAAACCATTATAACTGGAATACTGGCCTTCTTTCCGATACAGGTACCTGAATTCTAATTCAATCATATTGTTGGATAAAACATTTCAAATTGTTCGTTGAGTACCATGTAATTAATAATGAATTTGAAGGGGGGAAATCTAACAATAAATAGTGTAATACACTAACCATCTTAGCATTCACCGGTGCCCTCTCACCCGCCATGTGCATGGCAATTCGAGCTGCAGTTTTTTCACTAGGAGCAGCTTTCGCAGCAGCTGCACTTCTTCCATGTACTGAAGCAGATGCAGCATCCACAATACTAAATGCCTGAGTAGGTGTCTCCTCTCCTTTTGCATTTTCCTTGGAATTTTCTTTGATGCGTGACCTAGCTTCTAAAATTGCAGCAAGGGCAGCTGCCCTTTCTTTCTGTGCCTTGCCACCACCTCCCCCATGAAGTGCAGTTTGCCTTCCTTCTTCTGTTCCAAGTTCCTTCAACATCTGCTTGATGTCACCCGACACATTTATGTTATATGTTGGATCTGATTTCATTTTCTGAAGTTCTGGGGAAAATTGAAGTCAATAAAAAGAGTCAAGGTGCAGAGGCAGGACGGAATTAACACAAAAAAGGAAAAAGATCAGTTGCTGACCTTCATTATCAACTTTCAGGCTTTTTTTCACATGATCAAAATCCAGGAGAACCTTGCTATCAAGTGCAGTAGGGTTCTGCAAATCAGCACTGAGTTTGAGGAAGTGCATAAAAATGAAATTTACTATCGAGATTAGGAACAGTTGAAAATGATCAAACTCTGGAACCCTTTTACCTGAATGGTTATAATATCTTCCCTACTAAATGGTTCATCAGTGAGAAGTTCCTTCCAGTTTTTTGTCTTGATATTTAGTTCTTTAATTGCCTAAAAGGTGGAAATATCAGAAAATCAAGCATCAAGCTCCAAGTACTTCAAGAAGAAGCAAGAAAAGACCACTGAGAATGAGAGCACCACGTGATATAACGTACCTCGTAGCAGAAAACATTTCCAGTGGTCTTTATAGCAACTATGTGAGTGAACTCGGTAAAAACTTTGTTTAGTACAGGGCACTGGAACTCACCTGAAGCAAAGTCGAGAATGCGGTAGGGTCATCCACAACAAAAATATGATCTTCAAAAGCATATAATTCTGAGTTATATGTGTGTGTGTGTGTTTGTGTGCACGGGCACCGAATTACAAAAATATTGAACTTTAACACATCATTTAACTCTAATCACAATGGCAAAAACCTATACCAGACCCAAAACAAAGAATTGTTTTGACAACCATGCTACTGTAAATGACATTTGACAACCAGGAATATTCACCAATCATATGAATTCAAGGCAACAAACATGATGAGGTTTTAAAACAATACCAACCTTCAGAGTTCTTGTGGAAAATCAGAGGAATAAGATCCTCCTGCTTCAGGGGAGCTCCAGTAACAGGATTTTTACCGTACTTCCGAATATAAGGGATGATATTCCTGAACCCGAGTACCAATATGGTTATGAAGAACAATAAACTAACTGATATTCACAAAAAAACAACAAAGAAAGTTATTGTGAATTTTAAAAAAACCTACATTATCTCGAAGATGCTGCCATCGGCAGTACATACAGGGTCCTCAAAGGGTGTAAATGTAAGCCTGCCATTAAACTGCAACTGTTAATTCATGGCAGACGCATGGGCAACAAGTAAATAACAATTACGTACAGCAAAAGAAGAATTAGTAAGTGGAGATTAAAGAGGAATGAGAAATTACGCGCAGCAATAAAAGGGAAGCCGCTTGAAAGGGGTTTGATTGTCCTTGGATTTGGCTCCGCCCCATTCAGTGGCCCATTCAGTTTTCGTAATAAACAAACGGTCTTTACTGTGCTGTTTCTTCCCCATCTTCCTTTGCCTCTTTGAGCTTCGAACTCAGAAGCTGGCGAATCTCTGCAATTAGGGCTCCTGAAGAAGTTCAATTTCCCTTTCGCTTCGATACCAATTCATACCCAGCCGAGGTTAGGGAAGCTGACCTCGTTTATCGACATGTCGTCATCTGAATCCGGATATATAATTCTTATGCAAATCGACGTATCGGTTTGATTTCCAAAAATTATTTTTTAAAAAACTGATTTTAATCTAATTATTATTATTATTATTAAATACTAATTCACCGAGGACTCGTTTCATTCTTTTCTTCTTTTTTTTTCAGTTTATTAATAATCTTATTTCGTACTATTTTATAATTACTCTTTTGCATTCTTGCTTTGTAAATAATAATAAAAACAAATCTTAGTCAATTTTTTTTAAATTATAAAAATAGTAGTTTTGGTTTTTTTATTTATTTAAAAATTTTGTCTAAAAGTTGTATATAGTTTCTAAAGAAATATGAAATACTAAAACTAGACGGTGTATTTCAAACTTTCAGTCTCTTTACAATTTACGGCATCATAATAAAAAATACATCGAAACAAATATTTTTTAGAAACATTTTTTTTTTTCTATAGGCAATCCAAACATACCTTGTGATAACCAATATGTTAGAGTCGAGTTTGAATAAAATCAATACGTGTCGGATGATGAAAGTCTCACTGCTAATTTAGGGAATGTTCGTGGGTTTATGAACAAAGAATACTCTCTCCATTATCTCCATTGGTACGAGGTTTTTGGAAAGTCCAAAACAAAGCCATAAGAGCTTATACTCAAAGTGGACAATATCATACCATTGTGGAGAGTCGTGTTCGTCTAACATGGTATCAGAGTCATGTCTTAAACTTAGTCGTACCAATAGATTGGTAAATCCTCAAATGTCGAACAAAAGACTCCAAAAGAAAAGGAGTCAGACTTCCTCGAAAGCAGTAAAAAATGGCTAAGACTCCAAAGAAGTCGAGCCTCGATTAAGGGAAGGCGTACTTTGTTCGAGGGGAGGTGTTGGATGATGAAAGTCCCACATCGACTAATTTGATCATGGGTTTATAAACAAAAAATATTCTCTCTATTGGTATGAAGCCTTTTGAGAAGCTCAAAACAAAGCCTGAAAACTTATGTTCAAAGTAGACAATATCATTGTAGAGAGTTGTGTTCGTCTAACGATATGAACTTCGCCAAAAAAAAAATTAAAGTTACAATGTCCCACAAAGTAACAAAGCACACAGTGGTCTATTTCTCATGCTTTTTAACCTTATTCGCAAGCAGGATGCTAAATGGACCAAGAATTGGAAAGCACAAACCGAAGGAAACGAGATGTTTCCTAACAGCGAGAAATAAGAGGGGAAATTACATCTCCTGTTAAACTAAATAACAACAAAAGTACCAGCCTCCTCCCTCCTCCCTCCTCCCTCCTCCCTCCTCCCTCCTCTTAATTTTGCAGGTACCCTCTCTCTTCTAAATATGAAATTACTTCTTCCGCCATTTCATTAGGGGACGAGCAGATTCCTTCTTTGTATTGCAATAAAATCTGCCAACAAAGACCAGCGTGAGTCCATTTATGTTTCTTCATTAGTTCATGTTTGATGAACACAATAGTCAATTCGTTCAACAGCAGGCAAATAATTGTTAGCATTGAAATATATGTAATCCTTTGACCGTATGAAAACAAAAGGAAACAAAAATGTATGTTCAAAGTACACACACCTCGCAATTTAATGGTTCTTCATATGGATCATCTATCCCCGTGAATCCTGAAAATAGATGGCAAAGATCATCTCTAAATTGAGAATTGATATCAGTTGTGGAAATATATGTATACAAAAACAAAGCACGATAAATCTTCCATTACAACAACTACAGCTACATCCGTGAAAATTGGCAACTTGAATTCCCACCTAGAAATCAGCCACATATTTACAGACAAGATTGGCAGAAAGGTTTCATCCAAAAAAGAGAAACGGATGGAAAATTTTGGAATACCTACCAAATCCTAAGAGGAAGGATCAGGTGAAACCAAATATTGGGGAAAACCAAAATAGTACCTTGAATCTTTCCTGCTCTGGACAGTTTATACAGACCCTTTGGATCCCGGGCTTCACATACCTTAAGTGGCACATCAAGGAAAACCTGTAAAAATATGACAGAACCCAGCTGTCAACAATGAAGACATGACCATCTTATCAATGTCCAGAGCTCTAATGCCTTGCCCTGGTTGTGAACTCAGTTACCGGAAATAAAACTATGCCCTGATACTATGCAATACAAGAATTAGTATAACATACCTCAATGAAATCGCCTTCTGCCAACAGAGCTCGACAGGCATCTCTGTCCTTCCGGAAAGGGGATATTAAACTAGCAATACAAATAATCCCAGCATCTGCGAATAGGCTTGCTACCTCACCTGTTGACCATCTTGATTAATATTCACGAAATCTGGGTGATGCAAGAAATGTCAATGGAAATATTTCATCTGATAGAGAAGGCCACCCACCAATTCTCCTTATGTTTTCCGCTCGATCTTTGGATTCAAAACTAAGATCACTGTTTAGACCATGCCTAATATTGTCGCCATCAAGGACGTAGGTCAGCTTTCTTCTTGAATGTAAGCCTTGGCTTAATGCACATGCCAAAGTGCTTTTTCCTATAATTAGAGCCCTATGTGAGAGAGAGGGAGAGAGTAACTACAGTGAAAGGATCATTCTATACATAAGCATATTAAACAACAGTCTCTTAATTGTACCAGAACCACCGTACAACGTAAAATACCAGTTTGATGATAATGGAATCTCTTTTTCAGGAAAAGTTCATATGATTGATCATGAGAATGATAATTAGTTATGACCAATAAATTTACTCATATCTTTTGAAATAGAAACAATAAACATGTATTGTTACAGACAAGCAGCTGCATTTTTTATTTCCTTATTTCAGTCTACTACTCTAACTCTATACGGAGATGATAAGAGTTGAAAACAACTAAGTCAACTGTGTCCAGCCAATTAGTCTATAATTTAGTCTCTTAATCGAGTATATTCTTCATGGAACTCTTCTCCATGAAACGAACAACTAAGTCACATAACTTGTAAATAACTTGTAGACTCCATACTACAAAAAAATAATTATTTAAAAACTGCATAAAGGCAATCAAAAAGTTCAGATGATCTATCCTGCAATCTGGGTCAGTGAAATAAGTCTCACAAACTTCTGATTAACAAAAGAAACCAAACGAGGATAGAAAGCGAAAAAATTAAGTGACGGGCATTTGAGATAAAAGTTTCTGAGCAAAATAAAGGCCAAAATCACATAGAAGGAATGATACCAGTTATAATGGAGAAAGTGATGATGGTCCTCAAAATTCAACAAGAAATAAGACCAGTTACCAGTTGGAAAACACAAGGACTAACCTGAACCACTAAGACCAGTTATCCATATGACACAGCCTTTCTGCTGAATCAACTTTTCTCTTTGAGGCTTCCTGACGGGGCAATCATGCCAGACGATATTTGTCGACTTCCCACCAGTTGAGGTCTCATGGCAACCTTTACCTAATTATGAGAAGGTTGGACAAAATTAGAGTACCCAAGTAGTTTCAAAATTCAGTAAACTAATGAGTCATGATGAGTCAAGTAGTTTCAAAATTCAGTAAACAAAATTAGAGCTCGGCTAATAATGAGTCATGACCTTGTAAAGTCAAGCTAAGAAACTATATTTGAAGTAATATACCAATAAACAATTTGGTATGCATCAGCCTTGCCTTTGAACTACACAAAAGATACGAAAATCGTAATTTTGTGTTTTACCTTTCTCCAAAGGCACAACTAACATCTATTGAATACGAACAATTACCTAATTGATGGCACCAATGATCCAGATGGTAATTAATCGGATGTTTTATAGGGACAGAAGGAAAAGAAAAATTCATAAGTTACTGGGAATACTGGGAATAAAAAAATTCAAGCCAAAACGCATTTAGTTTTAAACCTAAGACTGATTGATTCAAATACAAGATATTGCTTACCAATATAATTTCCGAAACTTCAAATTGGCGGGTTCAAAAATATTAATCCGGAATGAAAACTATTAAACATTCTTTGATTTACATGAATTTGTTACAGTCTTCATAAACAGAACCAAACGCGAGTTTAAAAAATTAAGTACCGTGAATCGCAGAGCAATTGTTCGTCAACGCTTTAAATGGTTGGAAAAAACCAGTAGCAACAGCATCGCAACAGAACCGACATCCTCTACAACTCCGCTTCAGTCCAATCGCATTGTTCACAGCAACGTTCACCAGCTTCAACCTCCCCAGAGATGAGGAGATCAACGGCCGGTATTCATTCATGTGAACCAGCGGTCGCGCCACTTGCAACGTGACCATCTTGGATCTGAACACAGAAAAATGCATCAGGAAGCACAGAATAATACTCTAAAAAAGAGATTCGAAACTCCGAAAGCCTCGGTCGAAAATCTACATAAATATAGATAAACAAGAAAGCATTAGATACAAAAATACATACAAGATTGAAAATAGCGTTGAAAGAGGTCCGTCGGAGGAGGTAGCGGAGGTAGTTCCGTAAACAATGGGACATCCACCTGTAGTTCAGCTCGGATAAATGGGAATGGCAACTGAAAAGGCAGAGAGACGACAGAAAGCGGATGTGTAAAGCAACAACAGCGTGGGTGAGGAAGGGAGGCTCAGCTGTCACTAGAAGATGGAATCCACACAAGGAATCAAGCACTAATTACTCAGCTTTTAGCAATATATTTGGATAACGACTATGAATGTGCTGCGCAGAAATTGTTAATTTCTTTAGCTTTGTCACGGTGTGAATCGTCATTCTTCCAATCAATCCATCTATCGAACTGAAACTAATAAAATAAATTGCTTCTTTAATTCAAACCCAAATAAATATGCTGTTTGGGGTGGACGAACACTAACTTTTCACGATGGTATGATATTGTCCACTTTTGAGCATAAACTCTTATGGCTTTGAGCTTCCACGCCTCTCCTTAATCGAGGCTCAACTCATTTTCTTTTGAAGTCCTTTGTTCGACATTTGAGGATCTACCAATCTATTTGGCATGACTAAGCTTAAGACATGACTCTGATATCATTATTGACAAACATATTCTCTACAATAGTATGATATTGTTCACTTTGACCGTAAGCTCTCATGACTTTGTTTTATACTTCCCAAAATGTCTCATTATAATGGAGAGAGTATTATTGGATTATAAACCAATGATCATTCCTTAAATTAGCAGTTAGTACTTTTATCGTCCAATCTTTTGCATTTAAAGCTATTAAAATAAACAATTTCACTGAAGGTACAAATTTTATATTAAAAAATAAAGTTTTTATATAATATATTGAAAATTCTAAATACTTTTAGAAAAGTACTTAATTATTATTATTTTTTTAACTGCCTAATATATTTACTTCTATCTTATAAAAGAAATTCAAAATTTCCGTACGTGAATGGTTTTCTAAAAATAAAATAAATATCATATAAATTAGTGTTTTTTTCTTATAAATGGTATTTAATATCTTTGTTGAATTATACTCGAGTTAATAATAATTTCATGTTATTATAAATCAAATCTGTTCGTCGCAAGAATCATGATTAAGGCGACGTAGAACTAAAAAAATGAGAAAATTAATAAATTAACTTTTGCCATTTCAACATTATTATACAATCCTATTGTTCTGTATGATAACAAAAGTTTTAGTAATCTAGCAAGCTTCTCTGGTTTGGAAAATAGCTTGCAGGTGAAAATTGGTGTGTCAGCGGCAGCGGGAACGACGGCGACGGCGAGTGAGTTAATGAAAAAATACTCAATTGACCTTGACTGGTAGCAGCCACCGCCGTTACTAAATTGCCTTCTACGGTGGTGATGTCATGTATGCTGGATCTCTTCCGGTCTTTCTTTGCCGACTCTTGGCGTAGAAAATACTTTTGGGCATGGCTGGCTACTTGAGTCGGCGTTCTTGTAATCACCACGTTTCTAGAAATACTTCTCCAATCACCCTTTCCAAATTTCTTCAGCCCCAATAAAAATAGCCTGCCAATTTTATAATTTTTTTTAGTATAACAAGGTGAACGTCCAAAATGAAAGTCTCACCTTTGTTAATTGAGAAAATAATCCTAGGTTTATAATCCAAATATATTTTGATATCATGTCAGATGAACCGGACTCTCCACAGTGGTAGGATATCTTGGTTCAGGACTTCTTAAAGTAAATAGCATTCTTTTATTTTAAATTCATGATAATTCTCTAAATTAGCCGTAAGACTTTAATTTCGATAGTTATGTTGATATGAAGCATGTTGGGGGAGGTTTTATGTATAGGAAATGAACCTACTGGTGTTCTTTTTTGGTCCAGGGCTTCCCCTTCTTCCTCTCAGACGCTTTCTCCGGCAGCTGACACGGCGATTCCCTCTCCGGCGAACTCGACAACGACTCATCGGCATAGTTCGGTAGTTCAACTCGTCCAGAGTCGATCTTCTGTACGTCAGAAACCAAGGCGTCGTAATGGTCTCTAACCTCGGCCGCTGATTTACCAGGAACAAGACCGGCGATCTTCATCCAACGGTTGGGGGAATTCTCCGGCACCATGACGAGAGCGTGCTCGAAAATCTTGTCCTGGTGGCGAGTCCAGGGAGTGGGAGAAGGAATTGAAGTGGTGGGGCTCCAATAATGGTCGAGAAGGCCGAAGGAAGAAGAAGGGGCTTCCATTGGCCTCCTCGTCGCGGGGCTGACAGAAAGAAGGGGCAGCAGAATTCCGAGAAAGGGAGCTCGGGAGGGATGGGAATTTTAAGGGGGAGGGGGGTAAAAGTGAGAGGCATGGTGCACGTGCGAGAAGAGGAAATATTTTCGGGGCTAAAGACGGGGGAGCCAACGGATTCACCCCCAGTAAAAAGTAAATTCCAACACGTTTTATCCCTCTTTCCTATATATTTTTGCATTTTTAACAGCTTTAACGTTCCTTTTTGGGTCGAGTGTGTGGTTGTTTTTTAAATTGCTATTTTTGTTTCATTTCCTCTGTGTTTCTTCAGATGGTTTCCTTAAATTCTTATTAGTACTCATTCTAATTAAATTTAGATAGGATAAATAATGTTATGGAAATATTCTTTAATCAATTTATAATTAAATAATACGTAGGTTCAAAATTCTAATACAAAAAATGGAATCTGCTCGAAAAGGGGTTCGTATCTGACTAATTATATATATAATTTGTATGAAATAAATTTAACAGGTGACAAATAAGTTTAATTTTTTTTTTAATTATACTTGATATGGTATAGTAACGATAGACTTAATAAGAAATGAAAATAATATAAGTTAAATAATATCGATACAATATTTCTATTTTATTGAATGAATTAAATTATTTTTATTGATACAATACTTAAGTTAGTTATAAGTTATATTTCCGGTGGACAAATTTGGGCCCGCTAAGTTTAAAGTCCAAATCAAGGCCCATCCTAATGCCAGAATGCCTTGGGCCAAAATAAATAGTATCATCTTGTGTATAAAACCCTTGAAACCCTAACGGCGGACTCGCCCATCATTCGCCATTTTCTTGTTGCTCCCCCTTCCCCTTCCCCACTCCCCCACTCCCCCACCGGCCGCCATGAAGTACAACCCTAGGGTTTCCAGTTCCCGCCGCAAGAGCCGCAAGGCTCATTTTTCTGCGCCGTCGAGCGTTCGTCGGGTTATTATGAGTGCTCCTCTCTCGAATGACCTCCGGTCAAAGTACAATGTCCGATCCATGCCGATTAGGAAGGATGATGAGGTCCAAGTTGTCCGTGGAACTTACAAGGGCCGGGAAGGCAAGGTAGTGCAGGTGTACCGTAGAAAGTGGGTCATCCACATTGAACGCATCACTCGTGAGAAGGTTAATGGATCCACTGTCAATGTCGGCATCAACCCCTCGAAGGTCGTGATTACAAAACTCAGGCTGGACAAGGACCGCAAGTCACTTCTGGATCGTAAAGGTAAGGGCCGTGCTGCCGCTGACAAGGACAAGGGGACCAAGTTCTCCGCCGAGGATATCATGCAGAGCGTCGATTAATTTTGAAAATGGTGATGTTTAAGTTGATAGACTGTTCTCATTCATGGTTATCTAGCGAGTTTTTGTTTAAGACACTAGGAAAAATTTCCTCGGACATGTGGCTACGATTGTCTACTTTTGAGGCCTTGATTTATGGTATTTTGAAATCACATTTTGTTATTCCAATGCGCTACTCTTTATTCTTGATTATTACTGTTGCTACATGATGATTTTTGTTTGGTTAATGGAGTTCCAATTCCTTGATTATAGTACATGCTGTATGAAATTGGCTCTGTATGGCACTTGTGTTCTGTTGGGGTCTCGATGAATATGTAGGGAATTGAGCACTTCTTCCAATGACTCAATCCGATAGAAGTCTTCATCATTTATTTTATTTGATCAACGTTTTCTGGTCATAGTAAGATTACCCTTTTATCGGAATGTTGATATCTTCTACTCCTCTCGGAAAATATATGTTCTCGTGTCACATAATTGTTAATGGTTGCTTTGTCTACATGTGGATTAACTTGTTCCCAATTTATTTTCTACTTCAAATTATAATGGTCGTGATCGTTATTAACTGCCTTTTTAGTTTTCCTGGCCAACTCTGTATTGATTTTTGTTGATGTGCGTGTTTGGTATTAGGGGTTTTAGTGTTACGGCTTCCTGCTCTTTTCCTGGTCGTGGTGTTGGTAATTGAGATGATATGGTTATAGAACTAACATTAAATCTTTGTGTCATTCAACTTTGTCTTTCTATTTGAGTTCCTTACATTTTGTCTTAGGATTCAAGAATCTTGAATCTGTGAAGATTCAAATATCTATGCACCAGAATATCTTTGAACTAGTCGTCAAACATACTGGTGATTGGTGCTGTAACTCACTCAAGCCCAGTTGCAGTGTAGTCGTTAGCTGTCTATCAAGTAACATACCCAACTCAAATTTCCGTGATTCATCCTCTCCATCTTTCTTAAATGATGTTTACTTTACCTTACAAATGCCATATGAATCAGATGAATCTGATTTTGGTTCATTGAAGGAGCCTCATCACATTTTTGTTTCCTCACTAAAGACTTCGACTATTAATAAGCCCCGTTCTCTATTAGGATCCCCAAGTCGTTCTCTTTCTCCTCCTCCACATCTTTTAGCATATACATCAATTGGGTCATCATATTCATTCACATTTAATATCATTCACAATAGGACGTCATGGTCTAGCGAGGATGAGGAATGGTAGAACTTCCAAGACTAATGAGGTATTGGTGTTGCATAATGTTAGGTTTGTGCCTAGTGTTAAGATAAATTTCATCTCTTCTGACAAATTTAGTAGACGAAGACTACATTTATGAGCTAGGCGATCACCAATATGTAAGTTCATGATAAGATCTCAATAAGTGGCACTTGTTCATAGGAAACCTACCGTATACAAATGTCGATTGGATGTCGCTAAAATATCAAAGAGATTGTAGATTTAAACTAAAGTTGTAGATGATAGTTATTGAGGTATAGTTGAGATCACAACAATATCCTTCAGTTCGTAAACAATTGGAAAGTCTAGAGGAGAAAGCTGAGCTACAATTATTTTTTTGATGGTTACCTATTTTGTGATTTACCAAGGTGCGAACGGAGGACAGAGTCATAGGCGCCTTTAATTTAGTTGGGAATGGTTTATAATGAATGAATATGGACGGCCCCTAAAGGCCAACTCCAGGCTGCTACCCCTTGTGATTTGGTCAACTTCACACCTTCGGAGGTTTCTGAATTTACGCACAAATC